CCCCTAAGACAAGTATAGTTCAATTTTAAAAAATCATCCAAGTTTGATATAATATTATAGTCAAAATTTGTGTCAAAATTCACTTTTGTGATATGATGAGTTAAATTTTGAATATCACTAATTAAAAATCAATTTTTTTGGAATCAACAGAAAAATAAGTCTATAAAATTTTTCTAGTTGTGTAAAAAATGTTGTCATTAATTTAAATCATTTCGTGCAGTAAATATCTAAATCTGGATTTCGGTTGATTATTGCAAATTTCATGGGAAGTTCATGCTTCAAAGCAAAATGCCACTTTCAACTAGTTTATTTAATTTTTTTTCATAATTTTCAGATAAGTACAATATTTGCTCTTCAATGTTCAAGAAATTACTTTGAGCCCTTAAATAATTTTCTTAATGATTTTATATTTACTGTATACAGCGTTTAGTACTTAGGTAGAAAATAAGTTAATTAGGAAGTTAAGGATAATTATCTAGCATTAATATATATATATATATATATATATATATATATATATATATATATATACTAGCTGACCCGATGGAGAGTGTCCTGTATCCCATTATAATTCAAGAGTTCCAAATTTTTTAATATCCTATACTGATACTTCAGTAAAATATATAAATATAAATTTAATTTTTCCTTTTTTTATTCATAATCATAAATATATTATATATTCTAATATTGTCTAGGCTCATAATTTAACCTAAGTTTAAATTTCACATGTCAAAATGTTTTCAATGTCAAACAATGTTTACAATTTTTTCCATCAATTTCTACAAATTTATTATAAATTACGCCATGTATGAAACATAAGTTTATTCAGAAAATTTATATATTATTCATAGTTTCTGAAAATCTTTAATGTTATTGAAATGGAAAATAATTTTATAGGCAAGACAGATATTACAGCTACTCAAAAGGTGAGATTGTATCGTCAACGAAATAGTAAAAAAAATACAAGCAGTCAATGAATGTATGTTAATTTCAATTACATGAAGTTCTTCAAATACAAATATCATATGATGATGAGGGAAATTGTGAAAACAATATTTGTTCAGGCGTTGTTTAACATAATTAACACTGTGTGAACGAATATTATAAAATTTATTAATCAGCAATTACTTCATTTCTCTAATGAAAATTCATTTCTAAATGCTAATTACAATGACAAACCGATCATGTCGTATTTGAAGTATGACTTTACTTACATTATTGTTTTTAAATATTGTACACATTTTTAAAACAGATAAAAAAAATAGATAACACTCAAACAAATGAACAGCAAAACGTACAAAACAGACCAAAAATGAAACCGAATTCCGAATGATACAAATTTAGTATCAAACTTGCAAGCCATTCAGAATGACTTGAAACGTCGACAAAACATAAAACTAGCAAAACTACTGTTTCGGGAAGTTAAAATTGATAATGTTATGATAAGACAATATAAATATATGTATGAATGCGTATATATGTGTCTATGTATTTTATCCTTTCGTCGATTCCAAACCGTCACAGACATTTTAATCTCATTTCTCAAAAGCTCTTTCTGAAATTCTTTTCCCATTTCGCCAACGGCACACAAACTATAGCACCCTTTACATACATATTGTACCTACTGATGCTGTTATATAACACTAGACCTACACCTATACAATTTTCCATTGGATCCTTCGCCGTTGTTATCAGTTCAACTTTCAGTCGTTATCAGGCCGAACAAGACTTGGGCAAGATTAATGTTCATTCCGGCGGGCGACACTTTTCCCCACTTTTCCCCACCTTGCCCCGAGAATTTATATTCTAATGTATCTTTTTAAATTGTAAACGAAACTGAAACGGAGGAATTCTTGAGAGAGAAAGACGGTTTTGGAGAGCTCTTCAGGGTACGACGAGAGTTGCTTTGTTGTACATTAGTTTTAACAAGCTGGTTGGCTCTTGCGAATAGTTAATAGCAGAATTTTGCCTTAATATAATCAACTTTCAACAAAAATTGGGATTTAGGTACTAGGTAAAATGCAGTTTATGTTTGTCAAACTAATTGAGAAAGTATTAGGTTGCCCAGAATATTTTTTTCTTAGAACCTTTTCAAACAATCTAAAAAAATTGGGCTATGCAAAGCATTTTCCAACTATTAGGTGTATTTTCAGACTATCTAGAACATTTTCAAACTATCTATAAAAATAAGCTATCCAGAATATTTTCCGACTATCTAGAATAGTTTTAATATATCTATAATATTTCCCAACCATCTAAAATATTTTAAAACTATCTAAAAGGATTTTTTAAACAAACAGAATACTTTTCGACTATCTGGAATATTTTCAAACTGTCTAGAACATTTTTAAATTATCTAGAAATTTAGGCTATCTAGAACATTTTCAGACTAGAATATTTTTAGAATATATTAAAACAATCTAAAAGAATTATCTAGAACATTTTCAAACTATCTGAAAAACATTTTAGGCTTTGCAGAATACTTCCCGACTATCTGGTGTAATTTCGGGTTATCTAGAACATTTTAAAAGATTATAAAAAATTAAGATATCCAGAATATTTTCTGAGTAGCATATTCTTAGAATATATACAAACTAACTAAGACATTTTCAAACTAATTAGTAACAAAATTTAGACTATGCAGAACATTTTATTTAGATTTTCCGGACCATCTGAAACATTTTCAATTAAAAATACTAATTAATTACTGATCTGATTTTCATCTAAACCATCTAGAATAGTTTTAAGATATCAATTTTAGGAACATTTGTTCCTTTCTTCTATAACAAAAAAGTTATGCATATATGAATAGATGAATTACTAGAAAAATATAGGAACGTTTATGCAACTTGCCTCAAGGCAAAGTGCCACTTACACCTATTGAGCTTAAATTGGAAATATCAAATAAATAATAAATCGTGTATTTTTCTCCCAGGACAAAAACCAATATCGAATAAGTCATATAATTGATTCTTATCAATAGATTGAATGCGAATCTTTATGTTCTTGTTTATAACGTTTGAGTATTATCCGATTTTCCTCATATATATATATATATATATATATATATATATATATATGTATATAAATTTGTTGGATATCGTCAACGGTTCGGAAAAACGAAGGAAAACTATTTCCATGCAGACAATATGACAATTGATGAACGCTCCATTGGTTTTACTCAGTGAAAATCAGGTCTGGATAGTGGACACAAGGGCAGCATTTTGGAAAAATTAAGAAAAACACATTTTTTGAAGAGATTTTTGCCTATTGGCAAGTTTCGAAAGGTAGTTAAAAATAATTGTTCATTACATATTTAAAATATTTAAAAAAGAAAGAATTATTCCATTACTTTAAGAAGCCATAAGAGTAAATAAAAAGTTTCCCACTTTAAGAGAAAAAATGATGAATTCAAATTTTCGAGAATATTTAGTCTATTGGCAAGTCTTACAAGATGATTGAAGGATTGGGGTAAATACTAAAAATATTTGCATCAGAAATTGTTAAATATTCTTATTGAAAAAAATATGTATATACGATTATTTTGTCTTTAAAAGCAAGTCATAGAGTAATATTGAAGCGATTGGTAATAATTTAATATTATTTATAAAAATTATTTTAATTCAATAAGATTCTGCTTTCTTCATGTTTTCTTTAAGATTTTTCTTTCTTCAAAAACAATGAAAGAAATAAAGTCTGAGACAATTAACTTTCTTCATTTACTTAATTAATTAATAATGGCAATTGCCAAGAAATAATTTGGTAATGGTACCAAGGAAACTTAATGTTCCAAAAAAAATTTTTTTTGACCAAAATTTCTAGAAAAACACAATTTTTCACTTCACGCATATATGACTGACATGGTAATACAAAAACAGATACAATTACCCATGATTTTCATTATATTTTCACCGAATACGTCCCTTGTGTTATTTTATAAGAGCAGCGTCATACATGTGTTCGGAAAAACTATTTGTCAACATAAGTAAAAGCCAATTTTTCACTATCTCAACTTGCACACATGCACCATATATATATATATATATATATATATATATATATATATGTATATATATGTATATATATACATTTATGGAGAGAAGACGTAGCTTCAAATAAGTTTTGCAATAACCGCACTATGAGACAAATAAAATGGCCAAAAGATAAAAACAGAAACTAAAGTTATAGTTTCTAATACTAGGCGAACATTTTATGTATATATATATATATATATATATATATATATACCAAGACTTTTTTGGTCAATGTTAGAACATTAACCAAAGCATCTAAATCCTCAAAAATAAAAAATAAATTAGAAATTATTTATTCTGTACGTTTCAATACTACATATTGTACCATCTTTCTCGCTTTTTTTTTTTTTTAATTTTATTAAAACAAGAAGGATTAAGAAATAATCTATAGAAAGGTAAATACAAGCATCAAACTTAATATTCTAGTCCATAATGAAAAAATGATTTCTTTGAGAAAACAATAAAAAATTTAAAAAAAAATCATTTTCATATAATTTGAATTTATTGTGTAAAACAAATTTAAAACAATTAAAAATTAAGATTTTTTTTTTAATTATTAGATGCTTCACTGATAACTAAAACTGTATCAAAATCTTTTGTTATGAAGCCCTATTTATAAGTGCTACGTTTTTTGGCCAAATTTGTTTTTTATAAGTCCTTTTGAAGCCCTATTCATAAGTGTTACATTTTTAAGCCAAATTTGTTTTTTATAAGTCTTTTCGAGCCCTATTAATAAGTGCTACGTTTTTAGGCCAAATTTGTTTTTTATAAATCCTTTTTAAGCCCTATTCTATGAAGTGCTACGTTTGTTGTATTTATCTTTGCCAAGAATTTTTTTTTCTATTTATTTTGTAATAATTGTGAAATTATTTTACAGTTTCTGAATATTGGCACATATTTAGTATCAAAACGTACATAATAGAAATATCTTCTCATTTTATTATAATATAAAATTTAAAAACTTACCGACAACGTGCAAATATCCAAATTGTGTTTTTGCAGTTACAGTATTAATTTGGCACATGTAACGTCCACGGTCTTCTTCCTGAACATTGCCTAAAAATTAAAAAAAATTAATTAAAATTTATGAAAATCCTACAAAAATATATAAGTTAATATGACAATATAATGCATAAGATAAAAGTATAGACGAATCGCTGTAAATGCTTTGTAAATAATATATAATTCTTTTGTAATCTTATTTTTAATAATTACATTGAACACATGTCCTTTTTTATACAAAGAACCAGATATAAATATTATTTTTAATTTCCAAATTACTAATCCTATTTCAATCGTATCAGTCCACAAATCAGGATCTGATATAGACCAATTAGAAATAATAATAATATCTAATAATAAGAAAAAACAGAAAAATATTATATGTACAACTTTGATCCGCCGTTTTTCAGTCCTAAGTTCTTCAAAATGAAGTATCAAATTTCGAACAAAAACGGCGGAAGCAAAGCTGTACAACTGAAATTTTTGTTTTTTTTCTTGGAAGGATCAGATATAATTATTATTTCTAATTGGGATATATAAGATCTTGATTTCAATTATTTCTTGTATCTTAATTGAAATTAAATTAATTCTATGTATGTACAAATATGAATATAGAAGCTTCAAATGCTGCATCATTATTAAACTTATAATTTAATTATTAAAAAAGCAAATACAATTGCAAATAGTATATATATATATATATATATATATATATATATATATACTCACTTATATGTAAATTCCAAGTCCTGTGTTTATCATGGGAAACACTGATCCTTGGATTTCTTGTAATTACATGATTGTGGACTGTTAAAATTGCTGATTGCTCGAAATGCATCCAGGCAAC